TCAATGATGACCCCCTTGTAGAATGGTGAGATCCTGGTTGTAGAGTTGCTGTAGAGCTCACGAAGAATCTTAATGTACTGAGTAGGGATACCCTGGTTGCCCAAGTCTTCGACGACCGGTTCTGTCTCCACAGAGCGGCATCTTGTACTCCCGTGAAACTTCAGTGAGTCTCGTAACTGTGTGAATATGGTCGACCGTGCTGAACCATCTTCGGAGCCCTGCTTGCTCGCATAGCTGTCCTTCATCTAGTATTCTGCCGATCCTGTTAAGGATGACTCGAGAGAATAGCTTGTAGATTACAGACAGCAGGCAGATTGGGCGATAGTTGCCAGTGTCGTCCAGGTCTCCCTTTTTGTACAGCAACACGGTCCTACTGATGACCACGGAGTGGGTACCTTGCATTCCGACAGGAAGCGGGTGAAGAGTCGAGCGAGAGTTTTGAACGATGACTGGCGCGCATTCTTCAGATGTTCCGGTTTAAACACTGTCGAGACCGGGCGCTGTACGATTCTTGACCGACTTGGTGGGTTACTGGACTCGAAGAGAGAACTGAGGGGACAACGTTCCATCTTCTTGCGGTTGATAAGTAGGCAGATGACATGGCTATCGAAGAGATCAAAATAGAAGTCGTGGATGATTTTTTCCATTGCTCCTTCGGATGCACTGACTGTTTCATGCGGACGTCGGAGGCAGGTCATCTTGGTCTTGTAACTGACAAAGCTTCAACGGCATTGCGGATGCTCCTCCCGTCCTCTGCTGCTTCAGCTAACACTGCTGCTCTTCGATCCTTACATTTCCTTTACCGCCTCTCTGCATAGCTTCGCACAGCTCGGACTGAGTCGGTGATTGCCTGTACCTCGTGGCGTTCCACGCTGGCGTATCAGTTCTGGAGTTTCCGGGACAGACGTCCCTTGGTGACTTTAAAACTCTCTGCCTTCTGCCACAATCGTGAAAATGTTCTACGAGACGATAGTACTTCGTCAATGTTTTCGATGACGGCATCTTCCCATAGGCTCACGAGGAAAGCGATGTGGTCCCAGTTGATGACTGTCCTGGGGCTTCGCTTCCTGAACTTTGCTGCTCTCCTAATGCGCATCGAGAAGTGAAACCTTGCACGGAGAAGACGATGGTCCGATCTCGTGTAGAACTTTGAAACAACAGGCAGGCAAAACCTTCGATGGAAGATGATGTGGTCTATCCCGCCATGGAACTGTCCATCAGGTGACTCCCAAGTCCAACGAAGGTGAGGGAGCTTCTGGAACTGTGGGTTACCATGCATGGTGTTGGTCGACATGGTAAACTCCGACAGTTTCTCACCCTGCTCATTCCATTCCATTCCGTGAGTACCGATGTGAAATTCTCCAACCGTCTTTCTTGGGCCAATCTTTGCGTTGAAGTCGCCGACGATGACCTTAGAGAAAGTACGGTCTTCCTTGTAGAACTTCTCCAATTCCATACAAAGTGCTTCGTGTTCCTCCTCGTCATAGCATGTTGGTGCGTAGGCGACGGAGATTGTCAAAGCAGGAGTCGAACCACATCTACTCAATCTCAAACGTCCGATTTGGGTCGTAAGGCTTTCGTACGAATCGATGTTTATGGCCAAGGGCGTGTTGACGAGGACACCCACACCAACGCCTCTGCTGTCGCATGTTCCAATGAACACTTCTTCTCCAGTGTCGAAAACGGCGTGTAGCGGGCGGTGCTTCCTCGTCTTGGTCAGTCCGATGACGTCGTACTTAATCTTCCTGGCCTGCATTATCAGATCTTCGATGTGAGCTTTGGATGCAAGCGTTCGTGCAATGAGAGTACAGATCGCCATCTTAGTCCTTCTTCGTTTAGGCAGCCTATCCGGCCCTGGGATTCTAGTAGCCTCTCCCGAGCGGTCCTACTCAATGCTGCCGTATTGGGGGCTCCCTCAGGTTCAGGGGAATGACCCATCCATAATGCTGTTTTCGGCATATTGAAGGCACACGAGTAGCTTTCCAGCCTCTGTCGTGTGGGCCATGATAGACCTCCAGGTAGTTAGCCACGCTATCCTGTACAAGGGGCTTAGTTTTTGGAGGCGGCCCCGAATCGCCTCCCATGTACTTACCAGTCGCTTACGCAAGCTTTTGCCTTCGCCGACATGCAGTATCCCAACCGCACACACACAGAGCGCACACACACGCAAGCATGCATAGATACGCCTGAGTGAAGACAGCTGGTGTGAATCAACACAGCACTACAGAAACAGGGAGTCCATCCCCTGAATCCAACTGCGTCTTAGGGCAAGCAAATGGTGGCTTTTGGTTTCCTATACACCCCCTATCCGCCACCTGGGGTCGCGCCACTTAGCCTCGCCACCAACCGGCTCGAGATCTTTCAGTGAGAGGACCCTCAGTGAAAGAGATCCGTGCTAACATATCCGTATCCGTGATAACACAACACACATGTAGACAAAAAAGGATATCAGAAGTGAGTAAAACGTTATTCGTGTGGCAAGATATGTGTTTTTACCGAAACGACCCGTCCAAAATAAATTCGAAATCACTAAAGCAGAAGTAAGGGAAACTTGTCTTTCCAATGCTGCAACACCTCATTTCGACCACACTTTCACAACTGTACTTTCCCATGAGTTTGACACACCGAATATCGGATGAAAACATTTTTGCTGCATCGAAGTATTGCGTATTTGCAGCTCAATCCCCGGATTTGCTGTAAGGCGGTGGCGCTCGCAGAATCGCTCTGGTATCACGCTTCCAAAAATGTCAAAACGCGCGATGTCTTCAAGGTGTTAAGCGATTGCAGCATAGCGGTTACGGTGGATTTGCCCTTTTGAAATCTGTGCTGGTCATCCGCGATAACATTGAACTGATTCAGGTGCGTCACAATCCTCTGCTTTAGGACTTTTAGCAAAAACTCTGGCGAAGATCGATGTTATGCTTACAAGCCTGTAATTGCTTGGGCTTCAGTGAGGTAAATTTTTTGGAATTGGATTTACAAGCAAAATGCGCCACCTATCTGGCACCTCAGCGTTCATGAAACTGAAATTGAAAATGAACGTGAGTGGACCAGAGATAATGTGCGCTACCTTTTGTATGGAGCTGAAGGATATGATCAGGTGTATCCAAGTGAGATTTTGGACATCTATCTAGTAATTTGCTTCACTATAGAACCATGTCTCTCTCATGACGGGAAACATAGGGGCTACGACTGAATCTCTGCTATCCTATCTCTTTTATATGCTTTCTCGAAAACCTTTGCAAGAAGCTGTGCTTTGTTTTTTCCATTGCTTGCAGCACTGCCATCATCGTCGACCAAATCCAAGCAAAAAAAGCTCTGGCTTTTTTGAAGCTTGGAATTGAGTAACCTAATGAAGCGTTTTTGTTCCTGGAGCAATTACTTTTTTCTCAGTGTGACCATAGAACTTAGACAATTTCTTATCAAAAGCAATTACAGCACCTGTGTTTTTTCCAACCGCTTGGACTGTCTCCGCTCAACGCCTCACTCCATGCAATACTTTTTTACTGCGCAACCTACACGAATGTTGCGGTAGTACGATTTCGCTAGTTTTCTGAATTTTGGCAGTAACGAATAACTCAATAGAATGAAGGAGGATGGCCAGAAACAGTTCAGATCTACTACTAACGGTATCGGCACTATTCTGGGATCCACTCAACTTGTTGAGATAATCATTAATAGCATCAGAATTTGCTTTTTTGAAGTCTCTTACCAGCATTTCTCATCTCCTTCTTAACCTTCAATTCAAGTGTGAAGACGACGGAAGCATGATCGCTGTTCCCCTACCGGTGACTGAATAACGGCATCCCTTATAAGCCTTTCATTGTCCGATAGTAGTATGTCTAGACGTCGGATCCCCGTGTGCATCTCCGAACTATTTGGTGGAGGCTAAGACTTTGGCAGAAATTTGTGAAAGCGCGCACTCGTGAACTACTGGGAACTGGACTCCTAACGCTAGGCCACGAAATCTCGGGAAGACTGAAATCACCGAGCGGATTACCGAGTATCTCATAGCCATCAAATCCCCGATTGCCTTCAAAAGCTGAGCTTATGCAGCAACCGTGCACAAGGAGTCCTATAGAATATTACTGTTAACGATAGCGTAGTCTATGTCGAGGTCCGCGCACAAAAGTTATGAGCCTCGGGCGCAGTTTCCTCAGAAACAAGCCGAGGAGTGCAGATTTTATTCACAATGGAGGCAACACCACCACCATGCCTTTTGCGTCGGTCGCACGTAATAACGCCAGATTGCATGCACCAATCTCCGACTAGGGATTTCGTGATAGTATCAGACAACTGTGTTCCCGTAAGCACAACTGTGCTACATTGACCATCCCGCATTCGAATTAGGAAATGGCCAATATTCTCAAAGCCACAATCCAACCAGGTTTCAAAACAATCGGTTTCAAGTAGTGAAATCGCGCCCCAGCCCAAGCAAAGTGCATAAAAAGTGTCACGGATTTGAGAACTTACCTTTGAAATGAATTGGAAAGGCTTGAAGTCCCTCGAAAAAGGCGGTCTACCGAACCTCGGTAGACCCGCCTCCGTGCGGCTGAAAAGAGCGTGTGCTTGGATGCGGGTCCTAGCGCGATTGCTTGCTACGACACCGCGTTTTTAAAACAATGCTGCTTTTGTTGGTTTGAATCACTGAATTATCGTATTTTTTGTCTGTAGTGTTGCATTTCCCTTTATTTGTAGGAAGTAATGAATCCGACGACAAAATATAGGATCCACTAATACAGAGACGTACGAATAACTTTGCGCTCATTTCATTAAAAGTGTCTTGAGGGGTTAACAAAAGTGGTTCTTTGGAGGCTACTCTTGCCATAATACAGTGAAATGTGGCTATTATATTCTACTCCTTTCGCCGGTTAGTTGCTGAAGATCCACAAACATGATTCCTTTTTCTTCCTTTCTTTCTCTCTCTCTTGAGCCCTTGTGGCAAGCGAGTGAGTTTGACTAGGATCTATAAAAATGAGTGATCATTCAGGAGATATTTTATGGGATACTATGACGACGACAAGAATATCTACCTTGTGGACAAATTCAAGGAAATGATAAAATTGCACGCTTATCAGGTCAGTAAATCTTTGAACAGTTGTTTGTGGCTTCGGACAGTATAGCGGTCTCAAATTATTAGGGAACTTTTAAAGGCACCAATCAACCCTCCGAATAAAGAATTCGGTATCGAGCAACATTCACTCCTTATTCTTCTTACTTTGATCTCTCACAAAACTACCGTATTTTTTCACTACTATATACCTCTTGAGATATCATTTCTTTCTGTTTACAGGTGATTCCCTCGGAATTGGAAGCACTTCTGATCACTCATCCTGGCGTAGCTGAATCAGCTTCCGTCGCCATTTCCGATCATGAATCTGGCGAAAGGTGTTTTCTTTTTTTTACGTTTGTTGCCTAACAATGAGGGTACAACGTTAAAGTTTTCCATTGCGGTGATCGACTGCTCAGGGTTTCCTTATTTTTTACTGGGTTATCATAGAAGTGCGGGCGCATCTTGAACTTTTTTTTGAACCTACTTTATTTCGAGCACATGAACATATCAATATCACATATCTAGCATCAATATATGCAGCACTATTATCACTATCTCTGATTGTTGCCAATGACGAAACGAAGTGTGCCGCTTAACTCCCAGAAGGCTGGCAGTTACGAGCTGAAAAGGACAGTGACGTCGATCCCAAGATGCCTATGGGAATCGTATTTTTTGCGTGGAAGGCGATTGCTGAGCAGAAGAGCGAACGCCCTTCGAAGAGGGTTGATCACCGCTGCACGTTGGATATAGTAGCACCTTTCGGCTGAGCCTTGATAACGAGTCGCGTCTTTTTCAAAACGTCATCTCGATTGTGCTGAAGCAAACGCCTTTTTTTTGAGCTTGAGGGCAATGGCTGACTTCATAGCTGCAATGAGGGACATGTTCCTAGTAATGAGCTCGAGTACGCTACAAGAAAGGTGGAACACGACCTTGTTGTGAACTATTCCATTTTCACCTGGTTCTATTCAATCGAGCTCCTAGGAATTCTAGGTGTGGTTGTCATGAAACCTATGCTTCACAAGCAGTAGTGGCTTTGTTCAGCCAAGGTGTACGGGTGGAGTAGGGCACTAATAATACACACTCGTGTCGCACTCCTGCCATCAGGTGTCAATTGATGCGGGAATCCTTGGCAAAGCCCCACCACTTTTACGAAGAAACGAAAATTTCTATGGACTGTGTATCTGAAACATCAGGGTGTTGCGGCCACATAGCAGATTACGAGAGTCATGGCCTCCCTGAACAAGAGTTTTCTATGACTGTGCACTCCTGAGCAAAGAAAATTGGT